TAAATAATTTTTTTTAATGGCTGAAACAGTATTACAACCAAAAAATTAGCCTATTTTTTTTTGGTAAATTTTATGACGATCAATTTGTACCAATCAAAATTAAACTAAATGTGATATTTCAAAAATAATTATCACAAATTTCAACCAATAAAATCGCTTGAAAGTTAAATGTCCATTATGCTTTTTTAACCATATTGCAGTAGCATCTACCTTGAGTCAAATATTTTAATTTCTTGTAGATTATTAATTTATGGGATCGATTGCTATCACAAAAAAAGTTCTTTTCAAAAAAAAAAAAGGGAATTAAATAAAAAATGCTTTACAGAAAATTAATGATTCACCTTTTTATTTATTAAAATCAAATGAAAGCCACAAAAATAATTTGCGAGTGAGAATGAAATAAATAAAGGCTGATACAAACGTACGAATAAAATAATAAAAATAAAATAATAATAAGCCATGAGGTTAACGCGATTCTTGAAGTTGGTTCACATATTCTACATTTATAAAAGTATTCAAATTCCCTTTTTTAAAATTCATATGCAAATGAAAATAAAAGTCTCATGACATCTTTGAAAATTATGTAAAACCGTTTTTAAACTTAATTATTATTTAATATTCAATTTATGATGTTTTTTTTAATCACAAAGGATTTTCTTAGAAACTTCGATAATTCTTCTTTATAGATTTACTATATGTAAGAAATTTCAGCAACAATTGAATCATTTACGCGTCTCATTTGGCAATTTTGTCTTGACTACATGATGTAAGTTTTTTCTTAATGTCAGTTCAAATGTAGAAATTATACTAACGATACAATGAAAAAAGTGGATTAAAAATAGAATATATATTTATTTATTTAATTTATACAACAGAAATAAAAGAAATTTTTAAGCTTTGCTCATTATTTTGAAACGAAGAAAAAAAAATTTTGAAAAATAATAACATTATAAATTTTCTTGACCTTTGTACAGTCAACTCCATTGGAATTACGAAACGTCCGCTCTAAAATTCCAGTCACATTTATTATAATCCAAATCCTGTTATCCTGGTCAAAAAGAGCTTATAATCTATGATCTGGTTATCCTAATATTCTTTAATGTACAAATTACGAATGCGCAGCCCACCAAGCGTTCTCATTTTTATTGCACGTAATATTAATATAAGTTTTATCTGGTATTAATTTTCAGAAGATTATAACCTTTAAAAATAAGATATATAGCACTTTTAATTTTGGATGTTAACATTCCACAAATTCTTCAAAACAGAGATTAATAAATCATTTCTTTTATTGATTTTCATATTGCGGATGACGATATTCTTGGTCCTGATGCTTGCTTATCCTTAATATCAGGTTTCTAAACATTATCAATTGTTAATTCGCATCATTTTTTTTCTAATTCCTACTTTTCATCATTGCAGTATGGACACGTTGATCAAGAAAAATCATTTAACACCTAACGTTAATTATATTGTAAATTCATCTCAGCACTTATTCAAGCGGGAGTTGGATTTTGTCTTTTATCAATTACTATTATATTTATCTAGGAAGGAGTTATGATCAAATCCTCAATAATTCAAGTCCTTCAAATGTTTTTACGGGATTAACGATGGACATGCAAGTCATTCTTTATTTAGATATGCAAGAAATCGATTCCTTTTTTCCATTGTGACCCAACTTGAGCATGTCAAACTTTTATTATACGGGCACACTAGAATGAACTTTTTATTACCCCGATGTATTAATTAAAAGATAAATTACATTCATCAATCGAGAAATATTTGTATCAAAATGAATTCTACACTTCAAATGTTCTTAAAAGTTCTTTATTAATCTCTGTATAGAACAATTTTTTTTTTAAAAAAAAAAATTTAATATGAAGAAAAGGTAATCTTGGTCAAAGAAAAGAAAAACGAAAATTAAATATTTAAGATCCAATCCACAATATATATGATCCACTTATTTCATAATCACTCGATTTTGCAAGTGTGCTTCATGCAGAATTAAAAAAAACCGGTTTTTGTAATAAGTTGCATTTAAAAACATAACTAAACATAAATTATATTTCACTTCTTTCTCTTTGCTATTCTAAACTAATTAAATTCACACTATATTATATCATCTCCAATAACATGTAATATGGGATCTTCGATTTCTTCTGATGGCGATTCAGAAATAATTAATTTAGATTTTGTTGCAGCTGTTGTTGTATCTTCTGATGATGGATTCGTAGTAGTATAATTTACTGATGGTAAGACCAATGCTTCATTGATTGTGTTTACTGTTTCCAAAGTTTTTTTCCTAGCATTCTGAATTCTAAATAAATTTATATATATATATTAATTAAATTGATGAAAATTTTTTTTTTAAAAAAAAAATGAAAGTTAACATACGTTTCAGATGATGCTAAAGAGGAAAATCCTTTGCTTAGACTAAGCCATGCACTTGATGTAATATCAGCTGTTTTACGTCTTGTTTGTTGAATTCTAGAGACAAAATATTAAATATTATGTATATAATATGCTGATAGAAATGAAATAGATAAATAAAACTCACGATTGCGAATTGGCAACATCTGTAACTACGGTTTTAATCTGTGTCAATTTTTCTTGTGTTCTAAGAATTTTTTTTTAAAACAAAAAAGAATGAATTAAATCATAAAATCATTTGGTACAATAAATAATGAGATTAAATACGTACAATTCACTATCTTTGACTTTCTGTATTCCACCAATAACACCCGCAATTCCTTTACTTAAACCGTCCATAAACCCTTTACCTTCTTCTTCTGAATTACTTGCAAAAGAAAATGCTGATGATGCTGATGAAGGTGAATTATTATTACTTGCTTCATCAATGTTTTTTGCAAAATGAGTTTCCCATTGTTTCTTTAATAACCGTAATTCCTCTTCATGTCTTTTTAATTCTTCTCGTAATTCTAAAACTTTACGTTCCTTCCTTGCTATATAATGCAAGAACTCGGAATGTTGTTCTGAAGATGTTGCAGGTGCTAATCGAGAATTTTTAATTGCTAGCTCGGTTTCTATCTGGAAAATAAAAAAAATAATTACACACTTATTATTAAGTTTTGTAAAATTTATAAATCCTATGTATAATATTTATCACTCACCTTTAGGTCTTTTTTTTCAACAACAATTTTCTCTTCAGGTGATTTCTGTGAATCCAACTTTACCTCCTTCACTGAACCCACAGAAAAGGGTCTCTCACTTCTTAACATTTAAATGATTATTATAAAAAAAGAAATCAAGTTCAAAATAACGAACATGAAATAAATCCATAAGAAAATGTTTTTTAAAACTATAACGAAATATATATATGGCGATTGCAAGATCCGTGTAACTTATCCCAATTTAATAAGAAAGACTACTATATGTTCTTTGTAAATTACCACGCGAATATCTTATATTCCAAATAAGGTTAATACAATGTTACAGGATTTAATGATCATCCCAAAGACCGATATTCATGTATGTTTAAACGACATCTGATGGATCAAGATCGATTCGCCTCCTAGACACGTGATTAACGCGAGATAAAACCAAAAACGTTTACTTTTTTAAAAAAATTCAAAATGCAAAACTTTACAAAAATTGGAAAAAAAATCATTGCAATTGGTCGTAATTTTAGGTATTAGCCGTAATATTTATTATTGCGCTCTCATAATCCTAATTAACAGATATAAATTAAAATAAAATAAAAATAAAGTGAGCATGCAAAAGAACTCGGTAATGCAGTTCCTACTTCTCCATTCTTCTTCCTTAAACCAACCTCCTCTTACCTTTTATCAGGTGAAATAGAAATACCTAAAGGTTGTGTTGTTCATCACGAAGGTATGTTGTACATAATAATTTAACCTTATATACTTTATATTGAGCCTTTCTATTCAATTAGTTGAATTAGGTGTGGTAATTGGTAAAGACGGAAGAGATATTCGAAAATCCGAAGCAATGGATTATGTTGAAGGTAATTAAGACGCGTATATCTTTGTTCCTTGCACATAATAGAGTGTTGACAAATTTCTTAAAATAAATTTAGGTTATGCACTTGGTATTGATATGACAGCGCGCAACCTCCAAGTAATTGTCAAAGATTCATGTTATAATTCCAAAATTCCTATACTTTATTTAGATTGTGCTTGTAAATTTGTAGGACGCAGCAAAGAAAAAAGGGTTACCGTGGAGTACAGCGAAAGGTTTTGATACATTTACTCCGATCGGGTAGGTCGAGTCACGTTGCTTTAATTCAAAGGTACAAAAAAAATTAACGTATCAATTTTTTTTTTTAGAGAATTTATTCCAAAATCTGAAATCAAAGATCCTCATAATGTAAATTTATGGCTTAAGGTACAACTTAAGATATTTCCTAATACGAAATGAATAAAATGAAAATGTCAATTCTCATTATTTTTATTATTATGATTAGTTAAATGAAGAAATGAAACAAAATGGTATAACAAAAGACATGATATTCAAGATTCCTACATTAATTGAATATGTAAGCTCAATCATGACCCTAGAAAAGGGTGATTTGATTTTAACGGGTAAAATTTAAATTTTTTATATTCCCTTTTGTCATTATCAAAAGTATCTTGTAAAACATTTTAAATTTTTTTATTTTTTTTTATATATAGGAACACCTTCAGGTGTTGGACCTATTCGTCCAGGTCAAGTTATTACTGCAGGATTAAATGCTGATAATAAAAATATATCTACAATTAAATTTTCTGTCGTGGAAAGAGTTGGATTATTTGAATATAAACCATAATTATTATTTAAATTTTAAAAGAATTCAATTCTTCAAACAAATTATTTATCTTTGAAAATAATTAATCTATTATATATCAAACCAATTAAATAACGATTTGTCTTATAAAAATAAATAAAGTAAATAAATCAATCGATGTTATTCCTGACCAGATCAAGTACACTTGTGTCTTCCTCATCTTCATCACTCATATCAACCTCCCTTTCAAATAATGAAACATCCACCGTAACATCTCCCTCTTCGATATACTTCATATCTGAACTAGCAAGAGATTCATCTTGTTCAAATAATTGCCGTCCTACAAGAAATAAATAAATTTTTTTTAAACAAAAAAGCCTAAACTGGAAAAAAAATTTTAAATAAAAATGCATGATTTACCTGTAAGTTTTAATTTTTTGGCTTCTTCTTTTTTTATAGCTATTAGATTTTTAGATGCCTTCTCCTTTTCCTCTATTTTTTTATCAAACATTTCCTTCCATTCCAAAAATGATGCAACTGTGACCTTTGTTCCCTGAAATTTTGCTTGTTCTATCTATTAATCATGAAATGTTATTAATAAAGGTAGGATTTCCATGACGTTATTCCCCGATTGTTATTTACCTCAATTTCTCTTCTAACTCGATCTTCCTCGTCTTTCTTTTTCCGATTTTTTCTTTCCATCACAAATGTTGTTAGCAAATCTTTAAGCAGTGATGATAATGTGAACACCATCGCCATTCCTAATGAACTGTATGCCTTGTAGTTTCATTAAAGAAAAGGTTAAGTTTCATTCCATGAAAAAATAAAAATTTTAAAAATATTTCAAAACTAATATACAAACATATATCATCAGTTCGGAATATAATTTCTCATGTTCATCAGTATCAATAGATCCATCTAATGTATCGATTGATATTTCCGGAACTTCTTCCGGATAAGTTGGTGTAAATTTTATATGTAAAGCTAAGGTCACTGTTATTTTTTAAAAAAAGAATGGTTTAATTTATAGAATAATCCTGAAGGTGATAAAAGGATAAAAATAAATAAAAATAAAAATGATATAAAAACCTTACGCGGTGCTGTACTATCTGGTTCTTCGGGTTCAAGTCGAATACGAAATTCCCCTTCGGCAATTTCTATTAAAATGACAATGAATATTGCAAGACAGATTCAGTTAATATTCAAATTAGTCATGTAATTACAGAAAATATTAATTATATTACTATTTTCCATAATTCATTAAAAATTACCCTCGAATTCATCTGGATAAATCGATTTCAACACCTCTAGTTCTTGTTCTTGTTCTTCTTTATAATCTGTAAAATGTTAAAAATTTATTATAATGTAATACAATTAAAACTTTCAATCGAATAATTATATATTTAAAACGATTTTTAATTTACCAGTCATTTTTAAATTTGTTATGAAAAGAATACAGAATAATTTGATAAAATCCGATCTTTTTTTGCCTTATGTACTTTATTTTAGCCAATTACCTTGCTTTGTTTCACATGATCTCAAAAATCGCCGCAGATAACGTTTAACGATAGAACAGCAAACTTTTGAATAAAATTTATCAGAACACAAAGTAATATAAACAAATAATTAACTGACGCGGCATGATGCTAATGGAACACGCGATCTTAAAAATCCATCTCTATTTAAATAGTTTTTTGTACGATGTTTGAACTCCTCGATTCTTCCAGCATAATATTATCATTGATATATTGCTTCCATTTAGTTGGAAGTAATGTGTTTACTTGTAGATAATGATATCAACTATTGAACATCTGTTAGAAAATGCAACCCATACCGAATTTTTGTCAGTATCAACATCAGTGATTACTCCTATTGTACTTTACATATTCCTTGGTTGATGAGCAAGTTATTCAGAAACATAACTCATGCGTCTGGTTGAAGATGAATGCAAGAAGGAGATTTATCTTCGATTTAAGATCTGATCAAAAAAAGATGATTCCCATCTAACTGCATTGATTGCTTTAAAGATGATGAATTGGCCATCCAGAACTACAGATCATCATGTTGATCTGTTGTGCTGTTTCTCTGAAACTGATGAAAACCTAGTGAAGAACTTAGCATGATATTGATCCAATGTATTTCAAGTTTCTGGAGATATGGAATCCATTTGGATATTTTGCAACATTTCATAGAATATGAAATCATTCTGCTAACATTATGGATTTTAGGAATAATGGATAAAACAAATGTCAAACCATTATGCAAAAGACATGTTTTCCAGTTATTAAAAGGAGTTGTGTTATATCACCAGCTATCATGATGTTTATTTATTTGAAAGGAATAGTATTATTGTGAAAATTCATGAAAGAATTGAAAATAAAGTTAAAAAGTTTATCAGAAATCATAAATGCCATAAATACATTATCAATAATGAAAGTTTGATTCTTTTTAAATAATTATTTAATTTTATATTTGTATAAGTATATATATAAAAGGTCTTATAGATTAAAGTAATATATAAAGATGATTAAATAAGAGGTAAAATAATAATCATCTTTTTAACATATTGATTATCATACTAATGATAAATGATTTTCTAATTCCCCTTAAACCAATAATAAAGTAATAAAGTCATTTAACTTTATTATTTGGATCTATATATATATAATAATTATAGATAAAGTTCAATACCGATCTAATAATAATTATAATATGATTATCATTAGATAGATATTAAGAAAAATTTTCAAATCCTCTATTTGAATCTAAATTATATAGTAAATATTAATTAGAGTTCTGCTCAACCTATCCCTTAGATTGTAAGGTTTCGCAGGCAAATTTGCCTGCTTATTTACTATAAATTCTCTTTTGATTTACTTTTATGAATAATTAATATTTTAAAAAATTTTTTTTTAAATTAATTATATAAATATGTAATATATTATA